ACATAATAAAAAAAAATATATTTTAGACTTTAAATTATATATTTTATACGGGCATACGGTGTGAAATAATGGGGGAATTTTTGCACGGACAGCGACGTTTTTGTTTATTCTTGGTCGAATCTATGGAAGCCTATAACTACCATTCATAATTTCTACTTTTCGCCTCTTCAGAACACGAAAGTCGAAAAGTAAAAGTTACGACAAAATGTGAGGCGACAAGACGGTATACAAGCCAAAATGCAAGTCGAAAAGTAGAAATTAAGAAAAAACGGGGGGCGCTATTATCGCGGTGTGTTATTTCTTAATTTCCTATTTTCGAGTTGAAATTATGAATGGTAGTTATAGGCTTCCATACGAATCCCATCTGCCAAGAGTTCTTTATGTGACCGCCCGTAAACAATTGATATAATAACGGCACCCTACTGCAGTTACATGGAGAAGGCAGTAATATGCGGCTATTACAAATCTCCAGCAAAGCCGTGAGGAATCACACCTGTTGTAATTATGGCAACTGTTTATTTATAAATGCAGAGGTCGCTGAATGATGCGGATTTTTTAATTGATCATGTATTTTTAAAAGTGAATGCTACTGAGACATTGGTGCTGCTAAATGTTGCAAATTTGTCAATTTGAAGATACTGAAGATATTTTTGAATTGGTATTCCTTTTAGAGATTCAACTTCTACAATATTGAAGTGCGCAAGGTAAATCCCACAAAGGTACAACCAAAAAATGCTTTTACTATACCCGCACCTTTCGTTTACTGTGACATAAAAAAAAACTGTAACAGTATGTCGCGATGAATAAACATTTATGTACTTCACCGTGCGGATATTTTCTTTTTCAGCTTTTGGTTAAATAACCATTTGCTGTCAAATCTCCTATAAAAGTTTTTAATGGCACCCTCCATAGACATTAAAGGTCATTCTAGAAGCTACTCAAATATTGTGAACATGATTGTGCATTGACAGGGTAGTGTCACTAGAGTTAAACTGTAAACATACTACGTACGTCTCTGATGACTTGCTTACAAAAACTGATTCTGTAATTTACCTTATTTTGTGTGTCGGTCCTTGGCCATGGCAGTTTTTTTTTTAATTTTCCGGATTCAAATCATTGTATCCAAATAGCTATATATGCTTCATCCCGGATTTTAAAATTCTTTTGTTCTTATTATTTTTGGTGTTGTTAACTTTGTTGTCTTTGTTTTTATTGTTGCTCTTTGTCTCTTATCGTTGTTGTTGTTGTGTTATTATTTGTTGTTTGGTTTTTGCTAGTTGTCGTGGTTAGACCCCGTGTCGTAAATAGCGGAACTTAGGGATCCTGAAACCTATACGTTCATAATATGCTAAAGATGTAACAGATATTTGTCTTCCATTAACTGAAGTTGTTAAACATAACAAAGTTTATTGAGTGTGTCAATATGCAGATTTACTAATGTTTCTATTCAGACAAGTTCTTTTAATGGAGAGACTGACCTTATTGTTTACTTGTTAATTTGTATCATTATGTTCAAATATTACACTGCTCTCTATTTAAACAGTAAGAATAAAAGAAAACAAATTTCCATTTATTGACAATTTCTGGTTTTGTTTACCAACCGAGAATTATGGCGTCTTTAAATGTCATACACAACGATGTGAGTAGTTTTTTTGTGGTTGCTGATTACGCGCCATGTTTGCTTTGAGACTTGGAAGTCAAATAATCAAGAGTCGGTCAGAATTTTGGATTTTGTTGAGTCATGTGTTTGCCGACTACCAATAATATTTAACAAGGCTTATCCGATGTATGTAAGCACATGACATTAATTCTACTTCTACATTATCCATCACCCCCTTTTTCTTATTTGCATAAACGAGTTTACACTGCCAGTTTGATGTGTTGTTAGCAAAGATTAAGGCCTGATTAAGTTGTGATTCCAGTAGAATATGAATGCGTGTGTGACGTAGGATGCCTATATAATATGAGTTATGACAGAAGTTGGGGTGTGCACGGTCGGATCCAGGAATGTTTGCAGGTGGGGGATTGCCACGTTCCGTAGATAATAAATAGTCTCTATCGTCATTTTGGCTTATATCTAGGGTAACCAGAGGTCACTTTGACAAAACACAGAAACTGGGATTTTGCAATAAAACATACATGTACCTTACTACGCTACGATTTACTTTTATTACTGATATGCAATAAAATTAGTTGTGCACGATTTTGACAGGAAACTTTAAGGAAGCAAAATAGACAAACAAAAACCGACATGCTTTTATTATACATTTACTTAAAGGGGAGTGACAATTAAAATTTTGACGGGAAGTTTCGGTCCGATTTTCAGAATATTCGGACTCAACCATAATTATGGTGTAACGGTGATATATTTGAACAGTTTTAAAAATTTGATAAAAATTGTGATCGCTAGCGGGCCCATAAGCTAGAAACGTGATATTTCGTACAACCAGGGGGTCATAAACCAGCAGGTTACGGTCCAATACGCGCCAATATCGAAAGGAACCGAGATCTTTGGGATATAAATATATATTTTAAATTTTATCAAAATTAGATTAAAAAATTCGAACCGCTGGGTGGTCCACAACCTGGGTATTACGTTCAGATCTAAATATTAAGGCCACCGGCAGATTTCGTCAAGGTCACGAGATGTAAACAGGGTTAGGGCACGTGATTGTTGGGTTAGGTTTTGTAAGTTTCATAAAAATCGGACAAAATTTGTGACCACAAGAGTGTCCACATTCTTGGTATTATTATGCATATACATTGTATTTGTAAAGTTCAGCGTCACAAGATTAATCCACCATCGACTGTGTTTTCAATTCATTGCTGAGTAATTATATTAGCCAGAAATAGCTCAGAAAGCGTTTTCGAGGATCTAGACCCCCCCCCCCCAAGAGCTTCCGGCGCCTAGGCGACACCTGGACCGCTTCCCCTAAAGACCTGGGGAGGTAGCCCCCACCCCCACCCCAAGCAACAATTACTTCCGCCGACCCTGAAATTTAACCAAACCTCCTTCCATTTTATTTTTCGCTTGCTTTCTTCTTTACTTTATCCTACTGTTATTGCTACTGTTTACTACTGCTACTAAGCGGGACGAAACGGGCCTTCGCCGCACAAACCGGCACGTCGAATTACCTAATAACATACAAATCTACCCAATAAATCCAAATTCCAATACCAGGAACCACAAAATAAAACACTTTAACCAAAACAGCGCCTACTGAATGAGCTTCTCGGTAAACATGCGGTTTGCGGTAAAAACTCGGCGTTTGCGATATTGAATAATTGCAAGCTGGACCCATACACAAATCTACCAATATCTCAACGATAATATCATTACCAAGTTTCATTGTTTGAACATTTCCGGCGCCAAATATGCGATTCTTAGTTAGCAAGTACCAGCGTATGGTCCAAGAAATGAGTGTGAAATCATATCAAAATCAAAGTCCGTCATTCCAGCATGCCAAGTTTCGAGTTTCATGTCGATTTCGTATTCAAATGCAATGAAATGGGGTTTAACGTCCTACTATTATTCGTATCCGGTACAGGAGTTGGCTGTAATCTGGGTGCGAAGGCGAGAGTATAATTTATACGTCCTAGCTTGGCCAAATTGTGCTTACGCGGATGTGGAATAGACCCTGGTTATGTAAGCCCATAAAATTATGCAATGATCTCCTCTTAATGACAATAACCGTGGTCTGATCCCTAAAAAAATCGCACAGGAGTTATATCCCTTAGATACGGCTGTCGAGCGAGTTCGAAAGTGATTTTTATATAAAAAGGGTATAATCGCATATTTGGCACCGGGTACATTCAAACAATGAATTGCAGTAGTAATCTAATGTGAATGTGGTAATATAAGTTGGGATTTTGGGAAAAGGGTCTATGGGTTAAGCTTGCAAAGACATCGTACATGTAACAGTAATTCCGCAAACCTGGAATGGGGAATGGTGGGCCCGCAAACCGCAAATTCACCGTGACACATTTCGTATTCGACACTGAAATAGGCGCTTCTTTGGTTTAATATGTTATCTTATGTTTCCTGGTTTTGAAATTTGGAGTTATTCCTTTTTATTGGGAGGAGGGCGGGCCTGTAAAGGAAAGGGTCTAATCCTTTGCAGAGCCTCGTCTAAGGATTTGGTGGTGCGCGGCAATGTAGGGCGAAGCCGGATCTGCGAACATTGTAGGTGCGAGCCCGCGCGGTTTTTTTGGGGGGGGGGTCCTCCCCCAGAAAATTTTGAAAATTGACTCTCTTAGACTCGATTTCTGAGCACTTAAAAAATAGTTTCGGAAATTTGATACACTAGTTTTAATTGAACCATGGATTGATTTATACCCTGTAAAATCGAGATCAAAACACTGATATGCGGCTGACCCGCAGACAGAAATATACCCATAAAACAATCAGAAATACGATTTTGTAAACCTACGCACCATGATATAGTATTGGTTCATGGGAAAAACCTTGTCAGCGATTTTCAAAACGTATGTCTGTTGCCGCCCAGTCTTCAACTTTTGGTGCTCAGTAGGCGGCACAATTTGGCCAGTGCGCGGCGGCGGCGCCGCCTAGTCACCATGTTAAACGAGGCTCTGATCCTTTGGATGGTACTAAAAACAGCGCTAAATTTACACTTTTGCACGTCTGCCAGTTTCCGTTAAGGGTGACATATGACCGAACACCACATTTCAGCCGAATCCATCAATAATTTTAATTTTTACCGATCTTTTGGGTTTTCTCAGATGCACTGGCAGCCTTCTTGGCTTAGCCTATTTAGACAATCAAGACACTAAAATTTTCATCTACATTCTGCTGGCCTGTATATTAATTTAAATGCATGGACGGATATGCATGGTATGTGAGTTTGACAACTAGCCTATGAATCTGTCAGTCTATTATACCGATTGTTCGATAATCAGTTGTTCTCTAGCTTATTCCTTTTTCCCAGACAGTTAAGGACGTTAAATCCTGTTTCAGTTCTTATAATATTTTCTATTTTCAGCTTGTTTACCGTGCAGTGAAGATTTATTTCAATGTAAGAACTGTCGCTGTATATCAAATCAGTGGTTATGTGATCATAATAACGACTGTGGTGATAACTCAGATGAATCTACAAACTGCAGTAAGTAGAACAACCTTGTTTAATTTTATTAATGTCTTAGAGAAAAAAAATTAATCATCAACAAAATTACAACATCATTAACATATTTTTAAAACATGAACTTTCTCACTGCCTGGTCGGGACATTAAATTATCCCTTCTGACATAGCATGTCCATCATTGTAGATCTGTAGGTTCCCAGAAAAGTATTTATCGGGTGGTTATTTCCAATAAAAGTATGGTAATTTTGGTATATATGGAAAGTAGAGACATCCAATCTTAACAGAAAAATACTGAAAATAATTTTGGTACATATGGAAAGTAGAGACATCCAATCTTAATAGAAAAATACTGAACACTCTTGGAGCGTATACAGAACAAAAATGTAAGGGTTCCCCTAATCAACAGCCCGACGATTAGGAATTTCTGCACGCGTGATTTCAAAGGTCACACGCGAACATTGAGCGTTTGATGTACAAGTTGATAAACTTTATGAAGAGTTAGACATACAACACTTTCTGAGATAAAAATGACGGAAAAAGACGCGGGTAGTAGATAATCCGAGAATTTAATTAGGATTCGATATTTGTAATAATAAGTGCAGGGGGACTGCACCACACAAAATTTACACAAAAACAAATACACGGACAGGACATACTCAGGAAAACACAAACATACAGACAATTGAAAAAAAGTGAATGGATCCGGGGGCTAGCCGTAAGCGTCCACTGCGCTGTACAATCCCGGGTCTGTAGTGACACAGACTTTACTCAAATTTGAAAACAATTAGGAATACAACCCAAAGAACCCATTGTGCAATGCCAGCATGAGTCATGAAGCGATTAAAGACAACATCGTCTTATGTATGCAATGAATTCCAAGAGAGGTAAGCCACGTGACGTAAACATCACCTGGTTTGATCGAATTTTTATAGCAGGACATTCCTTCGCAATTACAATGTTTGAGAAGAATTTGAAGCAAAGTTAATTAATTAGTTTGAATAGGTTTTTAGTCCATATATACCATTAAATCACCATGTTTGTACGCGGGAAGCCGGGAACCCATCTTTAAATATCAATATGAGAATTGGTTTTACATAGACTAAGTCTGTTCCCCAATCCCATTTAGAAATCTTGAATAAAAATATTGTTAAAGAAATTAAAAATTTAAGGCGGAAGGTCAGACATGGATTGTGGGAATTCCCATGTATAAATAAACTACTCACTTAAAGGCAAACAAATGGCGCCCTCGCCCCCATTTCATCAGACAATTATCAGACTATTAGCTTCCCTAAGGCTTGAAATCAACAAGAAAGATACAGGCCCAGATACTGCATAGATTTAAAATTGTACACAAAGGGTTTAAAAATAGTGGTCTGAAACCTTATTCTGTATTACAGAATTAAGCCCCTTCTTTGCTTTTAGTTAGTAGCTAAAACATTTAACAATTAATTATCTGAAATACTTCAGGATAAATAAATTGATGTCAGGAAATATGTTCATGTTTCAGTAACCTAGTGTGGACTGAAATAAAGACATTTTATGTGTAGAAATTTGTTCGTATTTCAGCATACCCAGTGTGTTCTGGATCAGAATATAGATGTAAAAATGAAAGATGTATTTCACAAGATTGGATCTGTGATGGATCGGATGAATGTGGTGATAATTCAGAAGAAGAAAATTGTGGTAAATACCAGTTGAATATTTATATACTGGTGCTGTGATAAAATATAGAAATTATAGTACAAAAAAGGCCTGCCAAACTTGAGGGCAAGCAACTCGACCATACTGGAATATGTCTGAAAGATACATGGTGGTCATTTTGAAGGCCCGGGCTAGGCCTTGATTACCTGCCAGGGCCTAGATAGAACTACCCTGACTTTGACGAGAGCCTTATAGTTTTTAAATTTTTTTTAAAAAAAAAAGTAGACTGACAGAATCCGATTCTTATCCTACCCACATTCAGAAAAGTCACAGCTTTTCTTATACTCTACCTTATTTTTCTTTTATTAATTTTCCGGCGTGGCTCCCCCTTGTCAGTGATGCAGGACGGAGGGCCTGACAAGGACAGCTGTCTAGGCGTCTGATGGGACAAAAAACCAAGGTCCCGTGTACACATTGGCGTGCACGTAAAAGATCTCTTGAAAGTTGGAATTCGATATAAGAGTAAGCCGTAGTGCTGCTGTCCGGGCAAAATTTCCCTCATAGCACACTGTATGGCGTATGCCTGTCTTCATTAGCCCAGTTCGGAGCAGAACAGTAGGACGTTAAACCTCATTTCATTTTTTTTTTATTAAATTATAGCCCCAATTTTTTTTTTTAAGCATCACTCTGCATACCTCCGGGCCCCTCTAGGCTCTGGGCCCCTGGACAAGTGTCCCAGCACCCCCCCCCCTGCCCCCGTCTCATGGGCCCTAAATACGAAAACATAAGGTGTAGTACTGTTCTTGTGTTAAATATAGGTACCTACCACTGTCGACCAGGTGAATGGGCGTGTCCATCAAATGGACATTGTATCCCTATAAGAAATATATGTGATAGTAATAGAGACTGTGATAAAGGTGAAGATGAAGGTGTTACATGTAGTAAGTATATTACCAGTTTGTAGTTTGATATACAAAATCATTAAATGACGAATTATTGCCCCTTATAGTGAAATGTATTTCACATAATTGAATCTTTACTGACCCGTATAATAAAAGAATTCAGCTTCTTTGAAGATGGAACCCGGTTAAAGTCAGCAATTTTCTGAGCTACCCTTGAAGAGTTACTTCCCTTAAGACATATTTTATCCCTTTTAGGTCTGTCATTGAGCCAAGTGGTGATGTTTCAATTCCCTGCTTGTACATGACATGGAGTAGGGTTGCCTGTCCAACCTCATAGGTTTTATCTAGGTCCTCTGATTTCCTCCCACGGTTAAAGACCCCCTACGCACAAGAGAATTAATGAAATAAACTTGAACCATATGTTAGTCTGAAATTCCCTAGTTTGTGTTGAGTGGACGTTAAACCAAACCCCATTTCTCTCTCTCTGGGTCCTCTGGTTTGTTCCCACAGCTAAAGACCCCTATGCGCAAGTGAATTATTGAAATAATATTGTAGGCTACCATATTTTAGTCCCGAAATGACCTAGTTGCTGTTGAATAGATTTAAACTCTCTCTATATTTATCTAAGTTTTGTTTTATGATGGTTTATATTTCTAGGTAGTAGGACGTTAAACCCTATTTCATTTCTATTTCTAGGTACAACTGGTTGTAGTAAGTTATCGTGTGATCATGGCTGTAGACAAACACCTACTGGTGGTATATGCTATTGTTCAACTGGTTTTAAAATTAGTCCAGAAGACAACAGAACATGCGTTGGTAAGAAAATTTAATAAAATCCTTAAGCAAGAATCATTATTAAAGAACCATTATGTGAGTTGTAAATTTTCCTATTGACAAGCCCATAATCAACTCTATAGATATTCATATCTTCTGAAAATCAATTAAGAGCGACTAACTCCTTCTCTAACTCTAACTGTCTCTTTCACCAGGAACACATCACCCAGATCTTTACAGACTACAATTTATCTTTAAATTGCTAATGAAGATTGAGTCAGGTGACTTAGTTTCGATACCAAGCTTGCATGTGACAAAGAGTAGGATTTCTTGTTCAACATCGTAGGTTTTCTCTGGGTCCTCAGGTTTCCTCCCACTGCAAAAGATCCTTATTATGGCCCTATGTGAATGTACATTATTGAAATCAAATTGTAATATATGTTAGTCCGAAAACAATGTGATTTAAATAAAGATCTATATTTCTTTTCGTTTTTTTTATACTTTCGATGGCCTACACTACAGGAAGATCTGACTGGTTTTAGTGATAGGTCGCGCCAGAGGTCATACGAGTGGCTTTTGACCCTATGACGTCGAAATTTGATTAACTGATCATCATTGTTGTTTCTAGTGGATTATCCACAGTTCCGTGCACCACACGCCAAAATCTTGCCATAACAGACTGTTTCATTGGCTAATCCCTCACATCATCCAGAACACGTCAATGGTAACAACTCTTCCAGATCCTAGTGTAGTAAAGACAACTAAAACGAAATTTTGAACTATAAAAAACGAAACGAAATAGGATCAGTGTTTTAATCAGATTGGTCCCGAAATGACCTACTTTGTGTCAAGTGGACTTAAAACCCCATTTCACAGAAGCAAATTATTGAAATAAAATTGTATCATATGTTAGCCTCGAAATGACCTACTTTGTGTCCAGTGTTCGTCAAACTCTTCAGATTTTAATGAATGTAAAACTTAAGCCTTTGTAACAAAATCGAGACATCCATACTTTCAATGGTTTTTTCTTCAGATTTTAATGAATGTAAAAGTTGGGGATTTTGTGATCAGACATGTGAGAACACAGAAGGATCGTACAAATGTAGCTGTGCTCAAGGTTATACCCTTTCCGGTAACAGAACGTGTAAGGCTGCTAAAAGTATGTATATTATTCACATCTTTGCTTGTTTGTTAAACCTGAGTCAGACCTTCCCTATATTTGACTATGATGGCAAAATGCTGAGCAAACCAATGTCAACCATAGCCAATACTGTGATTGTATGACCTGAACTTTATAGCGAGAACAACTATTTATACAAAAATATATCCAATCCAAAGAGAACATGCTTAAAGATAAATCAATAAGTAATATATAGGGATGTGACAAAATGGTGCCCAATTCTAGTGCAGTACAAAGTGCTAACTTATCTTGATACAAGCTTTACACAATTTAATGGGAGTGACACTGATGTAATTAATAATCTATTGGATATCTATTTGAAAAACGGGAAAAATTACATTATTAGAATATGAAAGTATGAAAGTACTAGTATATATACCCAGGACAGAAAGATAAATCGGATGATCTAATATCCTGAAAAGATTGCAAAGAAAAATAACAATATTTTATAACCTCAATACATATAAGCATATTCTACGGCTTGCAATTATTACCCGTGCTGGAAATCAGATGTCAGCTCGATTGTGGTGTTGGTGGAGATAGTTCATAGGAATTTTTCCAAGTGAGTGGTTCAGGATGAAGGTGAGAGGTCAGTCATTCGCATGGGACAGGAAACCGAGTTCCGTTTACACATTGGCGTGCATTGCACGTAAAAAAAACGGTGACATTTGGAATTGGACAAAGAGTAGGCAAAAACGCTGAGGTGCAGGAAAAAGTTTCCCATAGCAAACTGCATGGCGTATGTCTGCTCTTCATTAGCCTGGTTGGATGGAAAAAAGTAGGACATTAAACACCATGTCATTTCCCTCCGTTTGTTGGCCATTTTACAAATTGCATACAATTGATTTGTCTAAGATTATGAATATTAAATTTCATGAATATTCATTAGCATCTGTGCACATACCTGACCCACGGTCTTGTGAGACAGGCACCCTGTGAATGGCACTCGCTCTGTACAGTCAAATAAAGTTGATGGTTTTATAATGAAGTGGTGTTGTCTAATTGAATTTGATAATTTGGGGTTACAAACTAAAACTTTCTTGGTTTATTATTGTTAGGTGCTGAGATGAAATTATATATTACAAATGATGATAATATTGTTACCATGGATACAAATGGTGGTGATACTCAGGAAACACTTCTAACATCAGTAGAAGATATAGAACTGGATGTTAAAAATAACAGAATGTTCTGGATTGATCAAACTAAGGTAACAATATTTCAGAATATTGGGAAAAGTATTCTTTCTGGTAAACCGTTTGAAAACTATAAAATTTCAGATATCTAACTGTAAAACAATATTGAATTAGAATAATTAATGGGGGTGGTGGGGGGGCTTTAAACAGCTAAATATGTTGTTTAAGTTTGCAAATTATGATATTTCGACTAATAACCCATGTGCAGGCATCGATATTTCCGCGCACATGCGCATGGCATGCGCAGGCACATTTGCTTTAAAAAAACTTTTTTGCAGGCACATTTTTAAAGTTGTAGCCTGCGCCCGGCACTATTTTTTGCCGCCCAGCACAAAGAAAAAATCGAAGAAAGCTGCCCAGTCGTATTTAAACCCCTTCGTCCTTCTCTGTACACAAACTCGGCGCTCGAAATTTACCACGGCAATTAAACGGCAAAGCCATGGTAAAAGCCGACGTACGCAAACCATGTCTGTCATGGTATAATTTATTTTTGTGTGCCGTAGTAGACCCTATCATCCCAAATTAGTTTAAAGTAAGATGTATTGGTATTTTATTTATTTATACTTAGAAGATGTGTAGGCCTAGGTCTATTCATTTTACAATTATTCTACGGTCTTTATATTTGTTTATTTGCCGTAAATAGGTCACCCAGACCAATTTACGGCACTCCAATGTTAAAGGTTTGAATGTCGTAATTGTCCAACACGTGCCTGCAAATTTTCACGATGTTTCTTATTTTATTTCTTACCTGTGTTGACCGTGGATTTGCTACGGCCCGAGAGTAGGACTAGGAGGACGAGGAGAGCTTTCTCAGTTTCTGCCTGACCTGATTCTCATTCCACCGTAATAATAATAATATTCGTGAGACACGTACGACTTTACAAACAAGTCAAATAATACAACGTGCAGGTATTGCACAAGGTCAAAAAGTTTCTATCAATCCAAATATGTCCATGTTGTTTTACGGGATGCAAACTTATAAAATGCTACCTGTTCATAATTGGTTTCATTCAGCCTTTTTTTGCTTTGACTAAACAATAACAGAAGATAAAATTTTAATATTTTAGATCTATACAGCGTCAATAAACGATTGGTCGGCAAAACAAGAGTTACCTATAAAAGGTCTAGCACGACCTTCAGCACTCGCTTACGACTGGATTGGTAACAATCTGTATTATCTAGATAAAGACGCCATCAGAATCGATATTTTCGCCTTCAAAAACAACTTACAAAGAAATATTATATCAGATAATATACGAGCACCACACTGTATGGCTGTGGATCCCATACACGGGTAAGTTATCCATATTTTAACCTTTCTATCCATTACTACGATGACTGTTGTCGGACTACTTTTTGTCCCCTGTCTTTCGAAGAAAGCAGGTAATTATTAAAAGGGATAAGGTTGTTCATTTGGTGAATCCCCTGACTGAGTTCGATGATTATCATCTTCTGCCAAGGCTCAGCAGAGATAAGCGATTTCATTGGTAGAGACTTTTGGGACACAATAACTCTGTTTCTAATTGAGCTAGGATGTTCAAATTTGGTGTACGGTAGATCTTCGCAATGATTGAGTTCGATAATGACTATTTTCTGCTTTGGCTAAGCAGCAGTTAATCTTCTCGTCTATCACTCACACTTTTGTCAGTAATTGAGATACTTCGTAGAATATTTAAACTTGTTGCGGATGTTTGATATGTGAATTCCCCGTCCCATATCCCCACAATATATGTTCAGTACGAAGCATCAGCGATAGGATGACATGCTGTTACTAAAATCATAAAATATATATTTAAACAGTGTCTCCTATAATTAGGTTTAATTTTATTTCGATTTGTTTTATCTAGTTACTTATTTTTTGTGGATGCTGGGAGAAAATCCACGGCCAATTCAGTGAAGATTGAGAGAGCTTTCATGGATGGTAGCCACAGACTTGATTTAAAATTAACCAAACTATTGATGCCACAAAGTATAACTTTAGATATAACAACACAGAGATTGTTCTGGATAGATTCCCACCTGGATCAAATAGACACTGTGGATTATAATGGTTTGGACAGGTAAGGCATTAGTAAAATATCTTTTATATGCAGCAATACTACTGGCGAGAGAGAGAGAAATATAGTTTAATGTCCACTCGACACAAACTAGGTCATTTTGGGACTAACATGGTTCAATTTTATTTCAATGATTTGCTTGCGCGTACGGATCTTTAGCAGTGGGAGGACCCAGAGAAAACCCACAAGGTTGGATAGGCGACCACTGATTATAATGTCCAAATTGCAAAGAATTTTCACGATCGAAAAATGACATATAGCTCTTGTCAGGAATTATACTAAAATTGGTCTAAACTCTGTAAAGGTGTTTTCCACACAGTAATCATGAAAGACAATCATTAATAAAAATACAAAGACAGATAGAGAAAAATGGGTTTCATGTCCACTCAACACAAAGTAAGTCATTTCAGGACTAACTTATGGTATGATTTAATTTCAATAATGCACACATGCATTGCGCTCTGAAATGAAATGAAATGAAATGAAATGGGGTTTAACGTCCTACAGTTTTGCTCCGAACTGGGCTAATGAAGACGGGCATACGCCATACAGTGTGCTATGAGGGAAATTTTGCCCGGACAGCGGCACTACGGCCTACTCTTATATCGAATTCCAACTGTCAAGGGATCTTTTACGTGCACGCCAATGAGTACACGGGACCTCGGTTTTTCGTCCCATCCGAACGACTAGACAGCTGTCCTTGTCAGCCCCTCCGTCCTGCATCACTGACAAGGGAGAACCACGCCGGAAAATCGGGATGAACTTTCTCGGCCAATGCAGGGATCGAACACCCGACCTCCAGGCTAGCGAGCCAGCGCCTTACCAACTTAGCCACCGTGATCCCCGCATTGCGCTCTAATGGGGGTCTTTAGCAGTGGGAAGAAACCAGAGGACCGGGAGAAAACCCACAAGGTACTTAACAGAGGACCCTACTCCTTGTCATATATAAATGTTGGATCGAAACCACACCACTTGACTCAATGTCAGACCTATAATCTAAACCATTTGTTCACCCAACCACCCGAAATTCAAAAGTACTGATAACTTGTAATTTTATTTGTATTATAGGCGTACAATCATCTCTGGTGGTATTCAGGTGCCGAGTGGATTGGCACTAAATATGTTTGAAGATCAACTATACTGGACAGATGCAACCAAAATGGGCGCACTACGTGTCAGTGTATATGGTGGCGAGGCGAAACAAATTTATCAGTCATCAGGAAATATACTCAAAAGTATTAAAGTATTCCATCCATCAAAACAACCAGTACCAGGTATGCTATATTCTCTAATAATATGAACCGGGAATTTAGTCCAAACCAACTTAATTTTTAATTTTTCAGGTATTATGAACTTAGTAGAGTTTCAAAACTTCAATTTTTAGAATTAAAAGATTTTGAGAAGAGCAACAAATCATTTCTGTTTTCAAATTTGTTAGTTTAGTTAGTTGATCGGCCATTAAACTACTGAACCCCACCCCGATTTCAATTGCATTTGACGATACAAATTATGTCTGATTAAAATTTGTGTGTATTGGATGGGTGGGTGGGGTGGGTGTTCAGCTACCAAGACACAGTTAATGGATTCAAAATATTTATCAGCATGTCCACACGTTGATGATGAATTTATGAATGTATACTGTTAAATGTTTTATTGGGTTTTTTTAAAGTGTATTTTTTATGTATCTATTTTTTTATGTATTTTTCAAAAATAATTGTCATTTTGTACTTGTTAAAATATTTGTATTTTGTTAAAATATTTGTATTTTGTTAAAATCCTTGTATTGTATTTTGTAGAACGGTATCCATGTGATAATAACCCGTGTCAGCACATGTGTGTTATATCACATACTACAGATAATTCAGGATTAGGTTATAGATGTATGTGTAGTGCTGGCTATCAACTACTACCTGATCAAAAAAACTGTACAAGTAAGACAGAAAATTATTCATTTGTAATTCATACTTAAATAAATTACAATGGTATTTTATATGTGCACACTCTGCAACTTTCACAAATATTTAGTAAAATACTAGCGTTTGACCCTGCGTAGCATGGGTATAGCCATGAACTGGATGTAGCATAACTCTGAAACTGGATGTGGTAGTACACCACCATGAACCGGAAGTGGCATACCTCTGAAACCGTAAGTCGTAGTCTATTTCCACCAGGCCTATGTTACTCCCCGGACCAAGTTACCCTATACATCAAATTTCAGCCTCGTGACAGCTGTAGTATAGCCGCCAACCCTGAACAGACAAGCAGACAGACAGTCACAACAATTAGTATAGATTAGTGACATGTAGAAATGTTAAAATATGGCTTTCATTTGTGTCAAAAAAATGTATCATATTTCCAAATAATGGGCGGCGGGACAAATTTTTTATTGTATTTAGATCACTTCAACTGGATCTTCTTAAAAATTAGTACTGTATTGTCGTTCCCTTTACCTGCATTGTTTGTTCTTACCTTTCAGAAATAGACAAATTTATCCTCTTTGCCTCAATGCATGCAGTACGGGGTATTCCACTGGAACAATCCATGACTTACTCCGTGGATGCCATTCAGCCTATAATCGGACCAAGTAGAGGCAGAAATGGAAGAAACTATGTAGCGGTGGATTATATTGCTGAAAATGAAACCATATATTTCTCTGATGTGAGAAACTTGGTTATTTATCAAGGAACACTTGGTGATTCAGGTAAGATGAATAACTTCGCTACTTGTTTTGAGTGTGTAATCTGTAGTATCAGAATCTTTAAGATTCAGGTAAGATGAATAACTTTGCTACCTGTTTTGATTGTGTAATCTGCAGTATCAGAATCTTTAAGATTCAGGTAAGATGAATAACTTTGCTACTTGTTTTGAGTGTGTAATCTGTAGTATCAGAATCTTTAAGATTCAGGTAAGATGAATAACTTTGCTACTTGTTTTGAGTGTGTAATCTGTAGTATCAGAATCTTTAAGATTCAGGTAAGATGAATAACTTTGCTACTTGTTTTGATTGTGTAATCTGTAGTATCAGAATCTTTAAGATTCAGGTAAGATGAATAACTTTGCTACTTGTTTTGAGTGTGTAATCTGTAGTATCAGAATCTTTAAGATTCAGGTAAGATGAATAACTTTGCTACTTGTTTTGAGTGTGTAATCTGTAGTATCAGAATCTTTAAGATTCAGGTAAGATGAATAACTTTGCTACCTGTTTTGAGTGTGTAATCTGTAGTATCAGAATCTTTAAGATATTGCTCTGCTCTATATTATCAACATCCAAATTTCAAAAAGGATTTCAAAAGTTAGTGTTTTTCAATATCTTCATGACATAATTTCGGCTTTCTCCTTAATTTGGTATACTCTGAGATATTGTTTGATATCTGTCGCAGGAAGCCCAACCAATATAACCATGATGCTTTTATAGGCCTGTCAGAACCTGGGAGGGGAGGATAGGTGCGATAGGTGCTACAACCCTTCCAAATCATTTTCAACTATTTACTCCATAGTTTAAAAAAAAATCCCCAGTAAGCCTCTGGAACCCCAGTTTTGGCACACGCCAGCAGCTCCCCAATAATGAATTTCGTTCCAGCGAGTCTGTTTGGGTAAGAATATTACACACTGCACAAAAACTAAAGCAAAAACTAAACTTTATTACCTTCAGTCATTATCACATAATATTTATTAAGAGAGCTTGTTTTATTGTTTCAGAACCTAAGCCTCTTGTTGTTAACAGTATACGAACAGTAGAAGGACTGTCTGTTGACTGGATATCAAAGAATCTCTATTTTACTGACTATGCTCGTGGTACTGTATCTGTAGTCCGGATTGAACAGCCTGGTGATAGGAGGGATATTGTAACTGATTTAGGCAATCCTAGATCTATCTTAGTCAATCCTATCAAGGGGTAAGTCAAATTCCTTATAAAGTATGACAAGGTGGAAACCATGCTGGAAAATCCTGATGAACTTTCTTGGCAAACGCAATGATCGAACATGGAACCTTACTCACCGAGCCACTGTCTTACTCACTGAGCCACCGTGGCTCTTACTGTAATAGAAGAAGACTTCTGGGGAGTATATATGTTTACTTCAAGTTATAGACTGCGGTATCATTTTTTGTGACCTGCACAGAGGAAATTCCAATCAAGGTTTTTACAGACCGAAAATTCCGAATGAGCGTAGGTGAAATAATTTTCCTTTTTTTATTTTTATATAGAATTATTTTCTTTTCGGATTGGTTGAGAAATTCAATGCAGAATGCATACATTGCCCGAGCTTATGGTGACGGTAGTAATGTTACCAAGATTCGTGAACATCAACTAGGCTGGCCAAATGGATTGTGTATTGATTTTGAAGCAGATCGGCTGTACTGGGTTGATGCATATTTTGATAGGTAAGGTTTTCTGCCAAGAAAGAAAAAATAAAGCCGATTTAAAGAGACATTATCGCTTTCAACCAGATTTGATTAATCTTTATCTTATTATCAAAAATTTAATTATCCATGTAAAATTACTACAGACTATAAATAGACTTTGCATTCAATCTAAGATTAACACCCTAGTAATGAAGTCACATCATTTTTAGTAACTGACAGGGGTAGAACACCAAAGCACTAATGTCTCTTTAAGCTCCATGTGACAAAACAAGCAAAAGAAAACTTGTGAAATCTTGTTGAAACGTCGCAGTGAAATAAACCACAGTAATTGTTATCCATAAATAGTGTGTTATTTGAAAAGAAAACTTTTGTTAAGTTTTAGTTTTATGCAAACAGTATTTGTACGTTTGTTATCTTTTATATAAATAATACCTTTTTGATGCCTTTTAATATTTGCTATTTTGAACAATTTTTGTTATGTTGAGAGCAGTTTTGATGTTATTTATTCAATGTTGCGTTCTTTGTTTGTGGACGAACAACTCCTCCCCATCTTGGAATTCTTCTATCTGGAGGCGATGCTCTTCGAAAATAACCTAATGATTGGCATCAAACTTGGATTGACAATGTGATAACTCTGACGTCATGCTCAGTTCCCTGGCCCAAATAGTACTTGTTTTTTTACTATATCTTCTAATCTCTATCTTTTAATTTTTCTTTTTATTCTGCTATTTTATGTGTTTTGCACGTGAATTATGTTTAATAGAATACAGAGCACTGATTTTGATGGAGAAAATTTAAAAACTTTGGGTAATCATGCTATAACCCATCCCTTTGGTATAGCTCTTTATAAAGGTTTGTATTCCTTTCTCATCCTACAGGGACCTGTTTCTCGAAATCTTAACTAAAAATTGAATCCACATTTTAGTAGATACTTCAATTTTGATTGGCTAAGCACTAACGTCAATCTAATATCATCCAATTCAATTACAAAAATTTGAATTTTATCTTAGTTAAAATTTTGTGAAACAGGCCCCAGACATATTTACAGTAAAATAATATACCGCAGTTGCCTTTAATGGGAAGACCCTTGAATTGATTCAATTTCTTGAAAAACTGTCTTGTTTATTAATTATTGTCTTTGTGTTGTTATTGTTTATAACTTATAGATAAGAAGTGGTGTGTCTCATACACAAGGCAATAAATGCTTAATGTTTTTATAACACCTGATACCACTTGTCATACAAGTTCATGTTTAAATGTACATCATTTTTTTTTGTCTTTTGAATGTAAATTATTATAAAGCGCAACAAGTATCAAGCTCTATGGACGATATGTTTCATCTTTTATAAACCACCCGATATCACTTCCCATTTAGTGAATTAAGTAAATGTTTGTGTTCTTTCAGACGACATATATTTTACGGACTGGAGAATGGAAGCCATCTTGAAAATCAATAAAAATGGGGGCAAGCAAACAAAACTTCGATCAGGAGTTGGAAAAATGATGGGAATAAAAATATTTGATAAAGATTTACAACCAATGTCTTGTAAGTAGGTCTTAGACTTTGTTGGCAATCCTGAGCTATATAATGCTTGGTTCCCACTGTCGTACGATGCGTTACGATACATGGCATGGTTTCAATCCTATGCTTGTATGTGACATGTACAGTCACCTGCTTAACCTCGTGGGTTTCCTCCCATTGCTATAAAGACCCCCACATGCAAACAAATGATTGAAATGAAATTGTACTCACTGTATCTCTTTAATGATTTTGTTGTATTTGTGTATCTTATATCCATTCTACCCATTTCAGCTCAAAATCCTTGTACCAGGCGTAATGGGGACTGCTCCCATTTCTGCTTCCCAGTTCCGGTTGCTGGTAGCTTACTGAGGATAGGACGCCATTGTGGGTGTCCGTATGGTATGAAGCTGAAGGAAGATCAGAGGTCATGTGAACCAAATCCAGATGAACCTAATCCTAATTCTTGTAAAGCTGGATTATTTAGATGTGATAATGGACGATGTATACCCCAGTCCTACCAGTGTGATAAAGACAATGATTGTCTGGACAATTCAGATGAGAAGGATTGTCCCACAGGTACAACTTACATGCATATTTTGAAATAGTTTAACAAATTTGAATATTGTTCTAAAGGGCATGCTTATAAATGGTGTTACTGGTCAGGCTTAAATGTATAATCTTATGCCGGGTTTACACTTTGGATTTTTTGTCAGTACTTAAATTGTAATGATTTTTAATTTGTCTGATTTGTTGACTACAAATCTTCGATAATTTTCTACAATGTAAACAGATAGGTCACCATCAAACTGGACAGGATTTCTAATAGTGCTGGGTATTGCCACTGCAGTCATGATACGATACGTATTGCGATTCGGTTGCTACAATGTGATTTGTATCACGATTCATAACCAGGTCAATATTTACCAAGAAAACAACAGGATAAATTAATAATTTGTCATATCATGTTTGTGTGCTTTTATTCTGTATGATAGATGGTACTGTATTTACGGGCTTTTATTCTGTAGGGTCGATGACAGTGTACTTGTGGGCCTTTGTTTGATTGATAGTACTGTATTTATGGGCCTATGTTTGTTTGATCGATTGTACTGTATTTATAGGTCTTTGTTCTGTTTGATTGATTGTACTGTATTTATGGGCCTTTGTTCTGTTTGATCGATTGTATATTTATGGGCCTTTGTTCTGTATGATGGTACCGTAATTATTGTTACATCGATACTTATATTTTTATAGATCTCACATGTGCTGCCAACAAGTTCCAATGTGATAATGGACGCTGTGTTAGCAAGGTGTGGCTCTGTGATGGAGACAATGATTGTGGAGACATGTCTGATGAGAAAGACTGCCGTAAGTATTTACTGTAATCACGGGTTACCCTGATAACATTTTAATGTTACTGTTACGTAGTGAGAGAGAGAGAGAGAAATGGGGTTTAACGTCCACTTGACACAAACTAGGTCATTTCGGGACTAACATATGGTTTAATTTTATTTATATAATTCGCTTGCGCGTAGGGGTCTTTAGTAGTGGGAGGAAACCAGAGGACCCGGAGAAAACCCACGAGGTTGGACAGGCGACCCTCCTCCTTGCCACGTACAACCGGGGATTCGAAACCACGCCAGTCGACTCAATGACAGACTTTATGATACAGCGCGCGCACGCTAACCATTCAACCATCCAAACCCCCCCTGTTACGTAGTGATAAAGTATAAAAACAAACCACGCCCAGTTTTTGCGTAGATTAAAAACTCAAAACTATATTATATTATGACCATTTAAAAGCTGAAACTTAGCTCAACATTTCTCAAATACAGTGTTTGAAAACAATAAATCTTGATTCAGTTGGCAGCCAAAATAACGTTTTCTTTAAGGGATGTGCAAAACAAGTCACAAGTTGATGAAGTGTGAAAAAATGTCAGCACACTGCGGATTTGAAATGATTTCATTTTATTACATATATGAATAATTTATGGCTGTGCAAAAGTATTAAAGCAAATAGAATGAAAGAATTTGAAAGATTTATTGGATATTTTTATGACATTTTTCGTATTATCTTATTCTTTTCATCTTAGTTTGTTTTATCATACTTATGGGGAAAAGTAGATATGACGTTATGCGAAAAATGCTTTGATTTTGATATATATTATAACACAGTCAGCATATAGGTTTTTTATACTGCTTTTTATATAAACCCTTAAGACTAACAATTGCATACCAGGATAGTAAAAAAACAAGGACAGCTGTCTAGTCCTTCGGATGAGATGAAAAACCGAGGTCCTGTGTATACATTGGAATGCACATAAAAGATCCCTTGGCAGTTGGAATTTGATATAAGAGTAGGCGATAGTGCCGCTGCCCGGCCAAAATTTCCCTCATAGCACACTGTATGGTGTATGCCCGTCTTCATTAGCCCAGTCTAGGAGCAGAACAGTAGGACGTTAAACCCCATTTCATTTCATTTCATTTCTGTATCTCTATATATAGTCTGTATCTCTATATATAGTATGATATTGTATAAAATATTAGCAGTATTGCACTACATTACTTAGCCTAACATCAATTTATTTTGTAACTCCCTGTATCTCTCTATATAATATATATTATATAAGCATCAGTTTAGTTTCGTAACTCCCTGTATCTCTATATAGTATGATATTATATAAAATGTAAGCAGAATTGCACTACATAACTTAGCCTAATTCCCTGTGTCTCTTACATAAAATATTATTATATAAGCATCAGTTTAGTTTAGTAAGTCCCTGTATCTCTATATATAAATTGTTATGTATCTATTATTGCACTATATTACTTATGAACAGTATCATCTATCAGTTTAGTTTAATAACCACTTATATATATATAATACATGTAATATATTATATAGAGATACTGGGAGTTATTAAACTAAACCGATGTTAGGATATATATATATATATACATATTAATATGTTATAATTACTTATCCTAACATTGGTTTAGTTTAATAACTCCCAGTATCTCTATATATAATATGTTATATAAGTATTAATGCACTGTTACTCTCTCTCTCTCTCTCTCTCTCTCTCTCTCTCTCTCTATATATATATATATATATATATATATATATTATTATTGCCATACTTATCCTAATATCAGTTTAGTTTATTAATACAGCCCTCAGTATCTCTATATATATGTCATATATCTATTATTGCACTATATTACTAATCTTAACATCAGTTTAGTTAATAATCCCTTATGTTATATACATATCACACTGTATTATGTATCTTCATGCTAGTTGAGTCTAATAACCCCTCATATATATATTGAACTGTATTACTTATCTTATGCTAATTGAGTCTAATAACCCCTTATAGTTGAGTTACTATTATAATATTATATATATTAAACTGTATAACTTATCTTATTGTTAATATGAATTACAGCTGGGAAGACATGTAGACCAGATGAGTTCAGATGTAATAACTCGCTGTGTATAATGCAAACCTTAAAATGTGATACTGATAATGATTGCGGTGATAGTTCAGATGAAGGCGATTTCTGTGGTAAGTATATAAATTACATTATTTGAGTCCATGGTTTCTTTATAAATACCAGTACATTAAGAAATAGAGAAATAATGCTTAACATTTTCTGTTACTTGTTAAGTATGTTACTACATTTCAAATGTAATGATCAGCCTAGTTGCCGAGAAATACCAAATGTCATGACGAGAGTGAGAAAAAAATGGGGTTTAACGTTCACTCAACACAAACTAGGTCATTTTGGAACTAACACAAAGCATCGTTTTATTGCATATATGGGTCGTTAGCAGTGGGAAATAAATGGAGTACCTGGAGAAAACGTGCGAGGGGGTGGGGGAGGGGAGCTTGGATGGATGAGCATCTAGTGGTTCAGATGTTGCGAAAAAAACTGAGGTTCGTGGACATTTTGCCACGCACGTAAAAATAACCTTTGACAGTTGAAATTCAAAATGAAATGAAATGAAATGGTGTTTAACGTCCTACTATTCTGCTCCGAACTGGGCTAATGAAGACGGGCATACGCCATAGTGTGCTATGAGGGAAATTATGCCCAGACAGCGGCACTACGGCCTACTCTTATATCGAATTCCAACTGTCAAAGGATATTTTACGAGCACGCCAATGTGTACACAGGACCTCGGTTTTTCGTCCTATCCGAACGACTAGACAGCTGTCCTTGTCAGGCCCTCCATCCTGCATCACTGACAAGGGAGAACCACGCCAGACAGTTGAAATTCAAAATTGACCTTATAGAACACTGTATGGTATATATATGTCTTTATTATTCCAGTTGGTTAAGAAAAGCTGGGCATTTAAACCCATTTCCTTTCATTTCACTTCATTACAAGTTTTCAGAATTGATAAACTGTTTTATATGTTTTAACCAATTTATTACAGCTGACCATTCGTGTCCTCCTGAATATTTCCAATGTGACAATAAGAGATGCATACCGGAACATCTAGTGTGTAATGGCGGCATGGATTGTTTTGATCAGAGCGATGAATATAAATGTCCCCCATTAAACTGCACCGGAAGAAGATGGACATGTAAAGGTGTACGTCAATGTATCTCTAATAAATATCATTGTGATGGCGTCAATGATTGTACGGATGCCAGTGATGAAGAGGATTGTGGTGAGTAGAGTTACAAAGCAGCAAACCAATAATTATATTTATTGCTAAAAAAGCTTAAACACCACAATTAATTTTTTTTTTTTTTTTTTGCCTCTGGATCTTATGCATATATCGTGGACTTTAATCCTTCCCCCTTTTTTCCACATTCAAGACTACTCTAGTTTGCTCTATGTTTCTGAGTTTTGTTTGTTTTGAGCTGGGTGACAGAAATGTTTTGGGCTTGGAGGGCTTGGTGACCTAAATGTTTTGGGCTGGGTGACCTAAATGTTTTGGGCTGGGTGACAAGACATGTTTGGAACTGGGTTACAGAAATGTTTTGGCTGGGTTACAAAAATGTTTTAGCTGGGTTACAGAAATGTTTTGGTTTGGTAACAGAAATCTTTTGGGACTGAATGACACACATGCTTGATAGGAAGGATTTACATGAAAGGTTAAACAGCATTTCAACTACTAGATCTTACCGATTATCCTCCACTTCAATATTTTTTATTTTTCAGCAACACGAGCACCAGATGGTTGTCATGACAATGAGTTTAAATGTGAAGTAGGTGGATGTATACCTGAAAAATGGAAATGTGATGGACAAGAAGATTGCGAGGATGGAACAGATGAACCTTCAAGCTGTGGTAAGTAATAATTTTATACTGTTTGAATAATTGAACACATTAAAATAATCACAACACATCTACAGAAGACAAGTCTTCATAGCCTGGTTGGTTCAACAGTTTATTAAGCTGGGTGGCTTAGGTTTCGTAATATTGTAATGTTGTTGTATTGTTATCATGGTGTTTTGTACCGACAGTTAGGGGTGATAATCAAGATATTTTTGCATTCTTGTCATAATATTGTATTGCTGTTGTAGTTTGTCATGTTGGGAGGTTTAGATGTGATAATATTGTATTGTTGTTGTATTTTGTAGCAACACCAACATGTCATGCTGGTAGGTTTAGATGTGATAATGGACGATGTGTATTTCCTGGTTGGGTTTGTGATGGTGATGATGATTGTGGAGATAATTCAGATGAAGCACAGAGTTTAACCTGTGGTTAGTAAATGTATTGTTTAAAACATTATTATCAATAATAGATAATAAGCAGACTATTCCATCCCTGACAAACATCTTGTGAAAACACTAGCAATGCTCTTTGAGTATATGTAAAAGATACACAGAAAACTGCAAATCTAAGCAGAGTAGGGAAACATGCACCATACCATTGAAATTGCTATAAGAATTGAATTGTCAGTATCAAAATGAGAATTTAAATGTCAGTTGGTTCTATCTGGTTTCGTCAAGACCCACTACTTCTCAAAATATATTGAATTCCGACAAAACTGTTTCTGTTTGAGCTTTATTTCTACCATTAATCACCTGCGCAACCAGATATTCATAAGAACACAGCATGACCCTTCCCGATCTTTGTGTATTGCTAATTACAATCGTTTAATAAATTATGACTTAATTATTCTGTCTTCAGCTCCACCACCCTTTAAATGTCCAGCTGGTCAGTGGGAATGTCCAGGTAGTAGAAAGTGTATCAATATAACAATGGTTTGTGATGGTTCACTAGACTGTCCTGAAGGCCATGATGAAAGCCCAGTCTGTAGTAAGTAGAGAATCAAATTATTTTAATTCAGTTGTACTGTAAATGTGAGTCAGTTGGCTCCCTTACCAAACGTATTATCCGAGACATTTCAGTGGAGTAGGATGTGAAATCTGTCAATTAAAAGTATCTAGTCATTCAAATGGGACCAAAAACTGTGTTAAGAGTTGGCAGCCCCCCTTCTTTAATCCTTGGTTGTGTCAGGAAAGTAAGACTTTAAAAACTCCATTTTATTTCTCTAAACTTCAGGTCGTATGGCACATCCCTTCATTTCACATGAAAGTTCACACAGCTTTCTGTATACATCCTGTATACATATTTCTAGGCTTCTTATTTTAGAGGGACCCACGGTGGCTAAGTGGGTAAGGCGCTGGCTCACTAGTCTGGAGGTCGTGTGTTCGATCCCTGCACTGGCTGAGAAAATTCATTGGGATTTTCAGGCACAGTTTCCCCTTGTCAGTGGTGCAGGACTTAAGGCCATACAAGGACAGCTTTCTAGTCATTTGGATGGGACGAAAAACCGAGGACTGGTATACATTGACATGCATGTAAAAGATCCCTTGGCAGTTGGATGAGGACGGGTATACATTGGCGTGCACGTAAAAGATCCCTTGGCAGTTGGAATTCGATATAAGAGTAGACCATAGTACCTCTGCCGGGTAAAATTCCCCTCATAGCACATGGTATGGCATACCGGTATGCCTGTTTAGAGATTTTTGTACGTTTAGAAGTTTATGTGGTTTATAATTTTCTCTGTTTTAATATTTCGAATTCTTACAATAAATGATAAGCACCCTTAAAGTAGTTAAATGAACTGATTTCTGCTACAGATTCCGAAAGTTGCCGATTGGATAATGGAGGATGTAGTCATAAGTGTGTACAGACTCCAAGAGGTGCTGAATGTGTTTGTCCTGAAGGTCAAGAACTTAATGGAACCAAAGTCTGTGAAGGTTTGTCAATTTAAGATTTTAAGATAATGTATTTATTTCAAAATCGCGATATTTTTATTTTTACATTCAAGGTATTAATTTGGGCTCTTTGTCCATTGGCATATATGGCTGGATGTTTATTCTTAATGGAGCTTGCCCTAGCCAAAGCATCTGTTCAATGAATAAGTGTAAAGTACTGCCAGGTCAATATAATATGAACTTCTCTTCTTAAAATAATTTGTTAGACCTTACTGTAGTGAGAGGTTAGTTGGCTGAATGGTCAATGTGTGCACTTTAGATCGTAATGTCTGTCATTGAGTCAAATGGCATGGTTTTAATCCCACACTTGACCCAGAAGTACCATCACCTGCCTTACCTCTGGTGTTTTTCTCCGGGCCATCTGGATTCCTCCCACTGCTAAAGACCCCTACACACATGCAAATTATTGAAAACAAATTTTGCCATTTATTAGTACGGAAATGATCTAGTTTCTGTCGAGTGGTCGTTTAACTCCATTTTTCTCTCTCTGTTCAGTGGCCACATGCGACATACTGTCTGGTCAATACAAAGTTGTTAGACATTACTGTAGTATGAACAAAAGGGACATAACAATGAAAGTAAGGTTGATTAGAATGATGTTGGATGTTTGAAACACATTAATACACTGTCTGTGAAAATTTAATTCATTAGAAACGTATTATTGATAATTTTTACGTGTTTTTTGTTTGTAGATAAAAATGAATGTGATCCACCAGGTATATGTAGTCAGACATGTATTAATACAAAAGGTTCGTTTAAATGTCAGTGTGATGATGGCTATACTTTATTACCCGATAAAAGAACTTGTCAAGCCAGTAGAAGTAAGTATTTTATTTGACTTTTGTGCTTGATTATTGTGGATGAAAATTAAATGAAGTTAATGCTGCTTTAATGATTTATTTGGATTATTTTAAGACAGTTTGTTGATGTACGAGTTTGGGTACCTTATCCAATTTTGAACCAAGCATAGACAACTAGATAGTTTATGCATGATAGTTTAATTATCCATGATAGTTTAATAGTTTATCCATGATAGTTTATCCATGATAGTTTATCCATGACTGGTATACCATAACTGCGGATAGCTTAATTTTAAACAATTGTGTATTCTACAAGTTAGAGCATCTTATCCAATTTTGAGCTTAGCTTGGTTTATCTATAAATGTACCTAGACTTGTATACCAAAACCTGCGATATATCTAGGAACAGTTTCTGGTAGCTACCAGAAATATCCCCATATACTTATATCATACAATTGATCACTGAGTGTACCTTATTCTTCGTCTTAGAACATTGTAGCAATGTTGTTGCGGACATGGACTTCGATTTTTTGGTAAATATCAAACGACTAGACACTGTTCCTTTGCCAGGCCCTCTGTCCTACACCACTGACAAGGGGGAAATCACTCTGTAAAATCCAAGTGAACTTTAAAGGCTAGCACCAGTATCCAACCTTTGATCTTCTTGTTAGTGAGCCAACGAAGCTCCTCATTGTTCTGAAAATTAACGACTATAGGATCGTCATTCTATCTGTTTTTCAGATACTTCCCAGATATTTTTGTTGGTTGCTGCCAGAACGACTGTAATAAGATCTAGTATAGAAGCTTGGATCTATCGTCAGCTACCACTGGTCAATCAGAAATCACTCTCAGCTATAGATATAGAGGTCTCATCTGGTAGCATCTTCTACTCAGATACTGGATTAAAGAAAATATTTAGAGCTACATACAATGGTACTAATGTTACTGAGGTAAGAAATCTGTTTCTTGAGTTCCATTTCTATGATCATTTAATTACCATTAGAGTATTTTAGAGAATGGTATATATAAATATATATTTAAGTTTTCTGTTGTCTAAAACTGTATGTTCTTAAAATGTAATTGAATTTAAACAACATTTGTTATTTCTTCTGAGGTCTAAAATGCTATGTTCTCAAATTGTAATTGAATTTAAGCAGTTTTTTAAAGTCTTCTTCTGGCTATAATAGTATGTTCTCAAAAATAATATGTTCTCAAATTTAAGCGAAAAATCTTTTAAGTCTTCTTATAGCTAATTTCTTCTAGAAAGAAAGCTTATTAGTGACTTTAGGGCATGTGTGATCATATCCCTATGGAAGCAGTACAATTCTTTTGTCCTTTCTTTTTAAATTAGGTAATATCAACCGGAGTAGATGTTATAGAGGATATAGCTGTAGATTGGATTGCTGGTAATATATATTGGACTGATTATCGTATGGAAACTGTAGAAGTAGCTAATCTTAATGGTGATAATAGAGTGGTGTTGATCAGTACCAATATTACTAACCCACGTGGTGTTGAAGTAGATCCTAGAGATGGGTAGGTTACACCATTTTAGATTTTATTTCAAGTGAAAAACTTCCTTTGCAAATAACTTTGATTATAAATACATGACAAATAGTGAAGATATTATGTTTCGTTTTGATAATTTTGTTACTGTCTAGACTTTGTCAAATCCTGAGTTTCGATCATGGTATTGACTGAGAAAGCTCCCATGGATTTTCCACTGTGGTTCCCCCATATCAGTTATGCAGGATGGATGGATTGGCAAGGAACAGCGTCTCGTCGTTTAGATGAGATGAAAGCTGTAATGTTGGCGTGCACGTTAAAGAACCTTTGACAGTTGGAATTTGAAATAAGAGTAGACTGTAGCTCTGTTGTACGGGCAAAATTTTCTTCATGGCATATGCCCGTTTTCATTAGCCCGGTTGGAGCAGAATAGTTGAACTTTAATTCCATTTCATGTATATAGAAATATAATTATTCACTCTGAATAAATATTTAAGATTATTATTGATATTTGTCTAAGGAAAATGTACGTAATTATTTTCCAACTCCATATAAATTTTAATATTTTAGGTCACGCTTCTTATTTTGGTCGGATTGGGGACAGAATCCTAAGATTGAAAGAGTTGGTTTAGATGGATCAGATAGAACACCCATTATAACTGAGAAGATTTACTGGCCTAATGCCTTGACCTTAGATTATCCAAACAAGAGGATTTATTTTGCTGATGCCCGTCTTGATTTCATAGATTATTGTAACTATGATGGCAGTGGTAGACAGAGAATGTTTTCAAATGATCATGTAAGATTGTATTAAAATTGATGTGTGATTAAAAAAAAACCACTTGAGTAATTATCAGCTCATCTTGTAGATTTCATCAATTCATACTTGATTTTAAATTTGCACATTGTATCAGGGCTCGCTTCCTAACTAGGAGGCCTGGCAAGCGTCTTGTTGTTCACCTAGTGCAGAAAACCCAGGTCCCTTGAACACATATAAGAACCCTTGACAGTAGTTGGAAGGAATTCAAAATATTGAGAAAATTTCTCCTATAGCAAACTGCATGGCGTATGTCCGTCTTCATTAGCTCAACCGGTGTTGAAAAGTAGGACATGAAACCCCATTTCATTTCACATTATTGTTCTTCAGTGTTGAACAAAAGTTGACTGATTAAATTCAGACTGGAAGGAGATTTTTTGAATGCGCAAGCTAATATATTATACACAACATCTATATATGTTTATTTACAAATAAAACTATTATTTATTGCAGTTTTTGAGACATCCCCATGCATTGACTATATTTGAAGATAGAATATATTGGACAGACAGAGCAGCTAATCGTATATCAAGATGTAATAAATTTAACTGTACAGAGAGAACTGTAATGGCGTCTAGTATAGCTCGCCCACTTGGTATTGTAGCTTATCATACTGTTCGCCAGCCAAAAGGTAACTATAGCATGCTTTTGTAATCTTGAAGTGATCCTGAAGTATGGTAAATGTCATGGGATACAGTACATAGTATAGATTGTCTGTCTGTCTTATGGGGGATACCACCAATCGGTATCTGAGCAACAACAGACCAAAGTGTTAAGATGGTGGTTTCGTGCCAAGGATAGATATTGCGATATATGCTCGTTTATAGGAATACTAAATCCTAGAAAATTTTTGCTCTGTAGTTTATAATTTGTAGCATATTCTATACTCAAAAAAGTGTTGCTTTACTATTTATTGTCTTTGGGAATTTCTCGAAATTATGATGATCTCAAAATCTTGAAGAGTTGAATCCAATGTTCACCTTCCGGTGATGAACGTTATATTGGGGTGTGGCTATTTGTAACAGTATATAAGACCCTCCCTATTTATTGTCATTCAGATGTGTTTATTATTTTATCTTATCCAATCAGTTAATAATCAATGTGTTTGTTATTTTATCTACAGCTAGTAATCCATGTGTTTTTGTTTTTATTTATAGCTAGTAATCCATGTGTTTATGTTTTTATCTAAGGCTAGTAATCAATGTGTTTATGTTTTTATTTACAGCTAGTAATTCATGTGTTTATGTTTGTATCTAAGGCTAGTAATCAATGTGTTTATGTTTTTATCTACAGCTAGTAATTCATGTGTTTATGTTTGTATCTAAGGCTAGTAATCAATGTGTTTATGTTTTTATCTACAGCTAGTAATTCATGTGTTTATGTTTTTATCTACAACTAGTAATCTTTGTGTTTTTTATTTATCTACAGTTAGTAATCCATGTGTTTATTATTTATCTACAACTAATAATCTATGTATTTATGTTTTTATCTACAACTAGTAATCCATGTATTTTTTTTTTTTATCTACAGCTAGTAATCCATGTGCTGAGAAAATGTGTAGTCATCTGTGTTTATTGTCACCATCTAGTGATAGTGGTTATAAATGTGTCTGTCCTGTTGGTTTAAAGATGGACACCACCAGCAATACTTGTAAACCAGGTAGATCTCTTATATTCTTTACCACTAGCAATTTCTATAATACTCAACAAGGGTTGAACATGGAAGAAGGTCGGGGACAAAAAATTCCTAAATATCTGTGATTTAAAACTGCTCTTTATGCGTAAGTTTTTGTTGGTCAACGGGGTCAAAGTCAAAATGTATTGAAGTAAAAATTAGCCTTTTTTTAGTTGGTCCAGAATTGTCTTTATCCTCGCTTCCTCAATAATTCTTTCACCCCGAGGATGATACCTTTAGAATCCAAGATCAACATTATAGGAAGGAAGGCTGGTACAAAAGGAGTAAAAGTCTTCTATAGTTCAAATTTTATTTTAGCAGGAAACCATAACACTTAATTCAATGGCAGACCTTATGTTCTAAAGCACACATGTTAAACACAATCGGTCATCCAACCCCCTATATAAAAACATATATATAGGTCTGCCCTTGAGTGAAATAATTAAATATAATCTATTTGTCTGTATTGTAGCAAGTGAAGTTGTATTGTTATACATGCAACCAAGAATGATAGCGGGAATTAAACCTGATAATGAAGCTAAACCTAGTATGGTCCCTGTAACTGCTATAGTAAATGGTGTAGACTTTGATTATGACAGTCAAGAAGGTTTTATCTATTATGTACAGAAAGAAAATGTAAGGATTAGCATTTTATTGATCATACATATAATTATACAGTGAAATAGTTCAACTACAACAAGGGTTTTATTTCATAAGATACGTGAGAGAGAGAAATGGAGTATAACGTCCACTCGATATAAACTAGATCATTCCGGGACTAACATATGGTTAAACTGGAGGACATGGAGGCGACCCTACTTCTTGTCATGTACAACCAGAGAATCGAAACCACCCCAGTTGACTCAATGACAGACCTTATGATACAACGTGCACACTCTAACCAATTGGCCATCCAACCCCCCTCATAATTAAGATACTACATGGAAACAGTTAGACTACAACAAATTTGGCGGCACGATTTCAATTCTCCCTGCATAATAAATCATTCTCATGCTTGTTGAGAGAAAAATAGTTCATCTGAATTTGTTCAGACTGAAGCAATTGTTATTGTCCAAAAAGGTAAAGCTTCTTTTAATTTTTGCTGCAGTCAAATTATGAGAACAAAAATTTCTCAAAAGGGTCTTGAATTTTAAAAATAGATAAAGACCCTTAACTGCAATTACGTATCCTACATTTTTTTAAAGATTTGTAATGTTCTTGAAAAGAAACTGTATGACTGGAAACACTTGAGATGAGAACTGCCGATGCATACAATATTATATCCTCTTTGTTTAGGGAAGTTTAAGAAGAATTGAAATCAATGGTCAAAATGCATCAGAGTATGTACCAACGGCAGTGATTGGTCAACCGAATGCCATAGCCATTGATTGGATATCTAAGAACATCTATTGGGCTAATGCTGATCTGAGTACTATAGAGGTGATGAGGATGAATGGACAACATTATAGAAAGATTTTATTAAGTAACAGTGGTAAAGATACAGATGTAGCTTCACCTTTAGCTCTGAGTTTAGATCCAGTTAGAGGGTAAATTCTGTTTAAGTTAATATCCCTGCAATAAAATCATTCTTTTTTTATATGCCTACATTTTAATGTGATACCGGTATACAATGATAAATAGAATACAAAATCCGAAAAACATTGCTTTATCCAAAGTTTCTTCAATAAAAATGCTGACTTCTTCAAGATGAAGAACTAAATACAAAAAGATAGCCACTGCACAAAGCTTGATTCCAGTTTTATTCTGTTTAACAGTACTCTATAAAAATTGGTATAAATTAATAAGTTAATTTTCTGTTTTTATACGCCCACATTGTTTAAGGTCTTGAGACGAACAAGTATATTGATTTTCAATGAGTCTTTATGACTTGAACAGCTAAATCCATGATGTTAAAAGTTTTGTATACTAAATGTTAGCATGGGGCAGAACTTTATAAAAACCAAACAAATTCTAATGGTTTTCTGATAGTTACTTAATGAGTTGTTACTCTTAATCAGATTTTAATGTACCGGTATTATAAATGTTTCATTACCGAAAAAAGTAAAAATATGCGACAACTCTTGTTGACTGCCCGGACGATATAGCTGCTGTGGGCGTATGTTTCGTTGCCTGGCAACCTATCTTTATGTTTTTGGTAAATTCTATTGTTTTATCTTTCTAGTAAATTGCATTGTATTATCTTTGTAGTAAATCGTAATGTTTTATCTTTTTAGTAAATCGTAATGATTTATCTTTGTAGTAAATTGTATTGGTCAGATAAAGGTGGAAATGGAGTACCACCAAAGATAGGTGTAATGAATATGGATGGATCAAATCCTAAAGTATTAGTTAATACTGGATTACGTAATCCAGAATATCTTACATTAGATATAGATAACCAGGCACTGTATTGGTCTGATTCCTTTTATCAGAGGGTAAGTCTACTTTATAATTAGTCTTGGGGAATTTGGGATTTCAACCAGTCCTATAATGTGATAATATGTTATAATATAAAGTGCAGGAGGACTGCACCACACATACAAAACCGATAAGACAAGACACACAAACCACAGAGAAATTGTAAGCAATAAATAAATAATTATGTGTTGGATAATTTGATTATAACACTGAAGCCATTGTCTACTGGTTTAAATTGAACAAATGTTGTACTGTGGTACTTGTATATTTTCCAATTCGCAAGGCCGGTTCGATATAATCTTTATATATTAGATAACCAAGGTTTAGAATCGTAATGGTTATGGTCATCCTCATCGACCAGGACAAGAACTTTATACATTTTTCTCTAATCCAAATATAGAACTTGTCTATTTTGATCCTTTATTCTATTTTTAGATAGAAAAATACAGTTTGGACTCTGGAGATCGTGCAGCTATAGTAAAAGATATGAGTTCACCACAAGGCCTGGCTGTTTATAAAAATCGTCTGTATTATACTGACTCGGACTACGAAACTATCTATGAAGCGAACTTCACAGACACAGCAAATCCTAAAAAGATAAAAAATAATCTACCCGGTCTCAAAACTGTGAAAATCTACTATAATAGGCATGGTAAGACTTTTTTAAATCAAATCTATAGTTCAGTTCAAAATCTTGATGCATCAATTTAAGCAGTGGAATCCCTTACTATGTGGAATTAAAATTTCATCAATCTATGCTCTTGGTCGACATGTAAAAAGCCTGCCGCCATTTTGTTGTGGGCGAGCAGAAATGACAGACCTGTTTTAAATCCGATTGAATCCATGCCAGGAGTGAGAGTATCTAGTGTTGGTATTTTGATTTTTTTTTTTTAAGTTAAATTTTAACTAATCACTCTGAGTACATATTAGCTGGGATTAAACTGTGAAAAATGCAAATAACACATTGTTACTTTAAAGCTGAAATCCCCGTTGCTGATCTTAAAATAACATGTGCAGATGATAACCTGAGTAATACTTAGTGGACTTTGTATTTAGGGAAAAAGTATGGGCGAGGCTTAAAAAACACATGATTTGATAGCCTTTTATAATGACACGATGTTCACCATATTGGATTCACAGGGGCTTGTTCAGGAATTTGACCAAAAGTGGTCGAGGGACGACTACCAGAAAATTTTATAAAATCAGAAGCGCTGAGACAATATTTCTGCTCATTTAGGAGTATACATGTATATTATTAGAGTTGGTTTGTTCAATGTTATTTTGATGAATGTAGGAGAAATAATGAGCTCTGAATAGCAGGGGAGGGTCCAGATGCTTCAACCCCCCCCCCACCCTCCGCCTGAACTTGGGTCTGCTTCAAGAAATATCATATAACTGTACTTTTTATGAGCATTTACAAAAATGGTGATTTGTTTTACTAAGGTTAATATATTTACTGAAGTTTTATGTTGATCTAATTTAAATCTTCTAATATTATCACACCTAGCTAAGCACCATTTTGTTTCTGTGTGTAAGAAAGTTTTCACATAGTGACACAGAATATTTTATTGTAGTTGACCAATCAAATGGTTGCACAGATAAATATGGCGGTTGTTCACAGCTGTGTTTGCCGTCTGGTCCTAATAATCAGAAGTCATGTGATTGTGGTATTGGCTCTGTTCTTCAAACCAATGGATCCTGTACAAGTAAGAATCTTAACAATTCGTCTTCTATAGTCATTATCTTCCATAATTGTGTTGGTACAAACACGAAATATTGATGCATGAAAGCAATCTCTTCAATCACCATAATGGTGAAAATATAATTCTGTTTCAATGGTAATATCAGACAATATCCCTGTAATTCTTTAAGTCGCATTTAATAATTGAACAGTAACACATTAAACTTGCAACGTTTCGATGATGATGCTTTCGTCTTTGCCTGATAAAGACGAGAGTATCATCGTCGAAACATTGCATGTTAATAAATCAGTAATTGTTATTCATAAATAGTATATATCCCCGTAAACTTTTAAAAAGAATGATAATTCATTACTTTAATAAAGTGTG